TTTTTAGAAAAAAAACCCCAAAAAGTTACGGGGGGGGGGGGAGAATGGGGGGGGGGGGAGGGAATGGAGGGGTGTGGAGGCATATGGGGGTATGGGTGGGTGCCTCCCTGCCACTACCAACAGCAGGCAGCCCCAACACAGCCCACATCTGCTCCGCAGCACTTGGACATGGCATGTCCTGTTGCCCTGGGCATGCAGTGGGCATGCACTGCCCCCAGCCCCAGAGTAGTGATGGGGACCTGTGCATTTGCAGCCCTGACCCCATGTGCCCCCCCTGCTCCAAGCTCACCCGTTCAGGCTAAGCAGCAGCAGCAGCAGCAGCGGCCAGGCAGAAACTGTTGCCTGGTGTGGGAGGAAAATGGCCCCTCCCCCTTGCTGCTACTGGGCAATTCTTGCTGCAGTAACCCAGAGACCATGCTGCGCAGGGCTGCCTTGCGGCTCTGTCACTAGTGTCTCTTGGCTGCCTTGCGGCTGCTCTCCACTGTCACTGCTGCTGTGCTGGGCATCCCAGAGGCAGTGGTGATGGAGCCACAAGACAGATCGGTGCGGCACAGTGCAGCGCGGCGTGGGCTCTGGGCAGCAACAGCAAAAGGGAGGGGCCACTTTCCCCCCTGTGCCAAGCAACAGTTTCTGCCCGGCTGCTACTCAGCTCAGACAGGTGAGCCCAGAGCAGGACGGGAGGCCAGGCTCAGCAGTGGCAGTCCAGGAGAGAAACTGGTGCTCAGCACTGGGTAAAAGCAGCCCCTCCCACTCCCACTGCCACCGCTGGCACTTCCTGGTGTGGCTGCCTGGAGTCTCTGTGGGGCTGCCCTGCATCTAGTTTGTGCTGCCACCGCTGCCCTGCAGAGCCACCCAGAGGTGGTGGTGATATGGCATAGATGCAGGGCAGCCCCGCGTGGGCTCCAGGTGGCTACAACAGGAAACACCAGCAGTGGGAGGGGAGGGGCTGCTTTTACCTTGCGATGAGCAGCAGTTTCTGTCCTGCACTGCTGCTGCTCAGCCCAGACAGGCAAAATCAGAGCAAGCACAGGGCATGCGGGGTTGGGGCTGCACATGTTGGTCCCTGTTGGTACTGCGGGGCTGTGGCCAATGGCAGTGGCAACCAGAAGGAGCCGCTGCCACCTGGGCTGCCTAGAAAGGCAGTCAAGCCGTCCCAGGCCTGCTGCATGCCAGGACGCACCATGACCGGGTGGTGCCTCAGCTGTGCAGGACTTAGGGACCCACCGTGGACCAGACACAGCCCCTCTGTGGGCTGGATCTGGCCTGTGGGCTGAATTTTGCCCACCCCTAGACTAGGGGATGCTAGTGCTCCTGCTGGGACTTAAACCCAGCTGTCCCTGGCTAGAGGGTCTTGCCCTCTGCTCAAGATCAGACTGATTGCCATATCTGGGGTCAGGAAGGAATTTTACCCCATACCAGATTGGTATGGACTGTGGGTTGGGTTGCTTTCCTCTGTACTGGGAGGCATGGCCTTTTTACTGGGATATTTAACAACAGCCTTTGCATCAGCAAGATGTGAGATACCAGAGTGTCCCTGCTTTATCTGTGGCAGACTAGAGTGCTTCTATGTCTGTGTGTTGGGTCAGGGTCAGCTGCGTAATTTTGCTAAGAGGTTAGACTATGGATTTGTATAGGATGGTTCAGATAGGGACGATCCTGCCTCAGGCACAGGTTTGGACAAGATGACTTCTTAAGGTCTCCAGCCATACTTCTCTATGACTCTAACTAGCTTTCTATGGAACCATGTGATAAAACTGCTGTAACTTTAAACTGAAAGAAATAGAGTTAGAGTTGTAATGTCTTTACTACACTTGTATCACTACATGACCATACAGATATAAATGTCAGGGTATAGAGAGATGTAACAACTTCCAGCCCTAAATTTCTGTGTGAATCTGTGAAATTGTACTGATACAGGCTGTTATGCAATAGCTGTTATGTTTACATGCTCTTGCAGCAATAGGAGTGCAGAAAATCGATTGCCACCGTAACCCTGTTTCACTCAGGATGCAAAAAGGGTATAGACAAACACACATTTAGAATGGTTTCAAAACAGGGGGAGAGGTGGGAGGGAAATGTTGCTCCAAAGTTCACAGCAGCTGTTCTAACAGTTGTATCCGCAAGCTATGAGTGATACAAAGGTAGCAAAATAGCTCAAAACAGACTCATCAAGGGTTAAAGGTGGAGTTGTTTGCCTACATCTACCCAGCTTGTGCACACTCAACTGTTAGAATGTGGCAACTGCCCAGCTCTCCCAGCTTGTATGCATGACTGCAGCCCCATTCACACCTAACAGTTACATCATAACAGCTGATGCACACCCCCTGAGCAGCAGTTCCTCCTTACATTTTAAAGCAGTTAAAAGTTACATTTATACCCCGCTCTGCATTGTAACAACTTATAATCAGGATCCATTGAAAGCAATACCACTGTGATGTCTGTTCCCTATTTTCCCCTTTCAAAATGGAGGTGTGGAAGGTGAACTGGAACATGAACTTCCAACACATTAACTACTGTGCAGTATCTACTTGTGAGACAGAGATTGGTACTGTGGTTCCCCCCCGCCCCCCAACTTCCTGGCTGCTTCATCCCCCAGAAAATAAAGAAAGTCATAAAAAAGATTTAAACTTACATCAGGTACTACATCCACCAAACAAACTTTATTTTTGGCCATGACGGACCGGATTGCCTCAAGGCTTGTTCCATAGAGATTCTCTTTGTATTCTCCATGTTCAACAAATCTAAAAGTGAAGACAGTTGTATTTCATAAGTAAAGGCCACAAAGAAAAGCAAATTTAAGAAATATGTTTGTTCCTCCTTAGACAGTTGCATTAGTCAGCTCCAGGGAAAGCCATGAAAAAATGCATGGCTCTGTAGAGTAGTAATGTGTGGGGATAAGAAAACTATGACAGTGTAATTTATACATCTCCTTCCATTTTGAAGCTCTCAATCTGCTCCAGGAATGTTAATGGATTGTGAACAAAATTCACAACCTAATAGGAAAGCCTGAAACAAAAAAGTTCAGTGAACTGGAGGCCATGAAACTCTGACTAGAACCCAGCTTTCCTCACTTCCATTTCCACTCCTTCCTCTCTCAAAACCTGAAAAACAAAATACAAAAGTACCACTAAGTTAACTTTCACCTTGGGGAACTTACTGAGCAGAGGAATCCAAAGAGAAAATATTTCTGTTGGAACACATTAAATGATTTACATGCTAGCAAACTGCCCCCCCCCAACAAATAACAACCAAGAAACCAAACAAAAAACTCCCAAAACCCAAGATTTGACAATACCTTTAGTGGGCTATATTTATAGTTGACAGAAATGTCAAGTTTTCAAGCATAAAACGCCTTTCCTCAGAGATACAGATGTAGCCTAGGTTAAAAACAAATTCTAACAAATTATTTTTAACATAATTATGCAAATTAAAGCAATCTCTTAAAAAGCAAGGTAGGCAGTAAGCCTCTGGAGTAAAGAGAAGTTATTAGAGGTATTAATAGACCAAGTACAGTTGAAATAAGTGAGCCTTCTTACATAAAACAATAAGATCATTCAAAAGGGAACAGAACCATAGAGAGGTTAGCAAAGAGAGCAGGTAAGTTATAATAAGCCATAAAACTACTGCCTGTGTGAGGTCTAATATTTTTGCTGTTCAGTGAAACAATATATTTTTGTTCCAAGGCCCAATTTTGGAAGTTTTGCACAGGTTTTCCTTTGGGCCAAGCACAGTGAGATCAGAGACAAAGTAGCAGTTCTATGAAGAGTTGTCTGTCTACTGGGTGATTGGATGTTTCTGTCCTCTATCTGTGCTTGTGAGAATTCATTCTTGAGTGTAAAGGTTGTATAGTTTCATCTACATAGCTGCCAAGAGGGCATTTGACGCACTGGATGATGTGCACACTTTGTGATAGGCATGTGTAGGATCCATGGATTCTGACGGTTTTGTTGTGGGGTAGATTAATCATGGCCAGGGTGGAAATGTGCTGGCACATTTTGCATTCATTATTTAGGCAGATCTTCTTCCATCTGGTGTTTGATCAGTGGGAAGTTTACTTTTAATGAGGAGTTGGGTGAGGCTGGGTTTTTTGAAAGCCCAGAAGGGTTGCAAAAGATTCAAGATCCCCTTCTAGTATATGCTGCAATTGTTCGATGATCCTTCTTGTAGATTGCAGGGATAATATGTGAAAATGGGTGTGTGGCAGGCATTTTTTAACAATATTTTTGCATTGTAGTGAGTTTTCTTTTTGCAGGATATTTGGGTACCTCTTCCACAGATGTGATCTATTACTTTGGCAAAGTGTCTTTGTTGCAGAAAAGGCAGTAGGATTTGTGGGGTGTATGTCACAAATACTCTTCTCAGAGAGGATGTGATGTTAGATCTAAGGCCTGCCAGGTATCACTGGCATAATTACAAGTTTTGTAGAGTTAAATGTGATGATCAGTGGGTTTTACATATGGTTACAGGTAGGATGACCATATGTCCCAGTTTAGCCAGGACAGTCCTGGATTTCACAGCCCAGTCCCAGCTGGCTGTTGAGAATTATACTGGGCACTAGGGTTGTGTGAAATTTTGAAGGGTGTTTTGTTTCGAAGCTGTTTCAACTCGTTTCGAGCTTGAAACAGCGAAATCAAAAGGAAACAAAAGGCTTCAAAACTGAATGATGTTTCTAAACATCTTGAGGGCACTCGAAATGTTTAGAAAAGTTTGGAGTTTCAAAGAAGCCTGGTGGCAGGAGGCATGGGAGAACTAGGGTTGTGCTCTAAGTGGCTCTGCCAGCCCCACAGAGCTCAGCGAGGCAACGGGAGAGCCAGTGGCAGAGCTGCTCAGAGGGCAGCCCTGGCCTGTAGCTCTCCCCCACCTTCCGTGGGACTGCAGAGCCTCCTGCCACCCAGCTGCTCTCCAAGGGGCTCTGCCACTGACTCTCTGCCACCTCCCACCACTGGGCTGAGCTCCATGGGGCTGGCGGAGCCACTTGGAGCACAGTCCTGGCAAGCACAGCCTGGCGAGTGGAGGCTCTGCAGCCCCATGGAGCTCAGCCCAGTGGTGGGAGGCGGCTGGAGAACCAGTTGTAGAGCCACTCTGAGCGCAGCCTTGGTGAGCACAGTCCCACAGAGCTGAGCCTCGTGGCAGGAGGCAACAGAGAGGCAGTGGCAGAGCTGCTCGGAGCACAGCCCTGGCTAGTGGCTCTCTCCCACCTCCCGCCACTAGGCTCAGCTCCATGGGGCTGCAGAGCCTCCCGCCACTGGGCTGTGCTCACCAGGGCTCCGCTCCAAGCAGCTCCACCACTGGCTCTCCTGCTGCCTCCCACCGCTGGGCTGAGCTCCATGGGGCTGGCAGAGTCACTCAGAGTGCAGCCCGGTGGCAGGAGGTGGGGAGAGCCAGGACTGTCCTCCAAACATCTCTACCAGCCCCATGGAGCTCAAACTGCCCTCCCAGTGCTGCCGGACTCCTCCCAGGGGTGCAGGCCCCCAGATCTGCATGCAGAATGTCAGGAGGCTGCCACTGCTGCCTGGGGCCAATGGCAGCACCATTCTTCCTCACGCTGGGTGTGGGCTGCACCCAGTGCCAATCCCAGGTGGTGGCAGCAGCAGCAGCCTCCAGTCAACCTGAGCACAGATCTGGGGGCCCACACCCCTGGGAGGAGTCTGGCACAGCCCCAAAGCCCTCCTGGAGGCATGGGCCCCCAGATTGCCCATGGGATGACAGGAGGCCAGTGCTGCCAGCAACTGACAGGAGTTTTGCTTTTAGCAGTTCGAGGTACAGTTTCCCAGAAACCCCTGCACCTATCTCCTTGAAACCTGGCAGGCTTCATGCCCTCAGAAGGGGCTACCATCCCTGCAATGTTCATCTGAATCAGGGAAAAAATGACAAAGTTATAGGCATTTCCATGATTGCCCATTCTAATCTATGGGCGAAACATCGAAATGCGTCGAAACAGTGAAACAGTTTCAACAAAATGAAACAGAACAGTACTTTGAAACAAACCAAAATGCTGTCCCTTTGAAATGGTGAAACATACGTCAAAACTAAATGGTGTTGTTTTGTACAGCCCTACTGGACACCCTGGAAATGCAGGGGTGTGGGGCACAGTCTGGCCAAGAGTTGGAGCAATGCAGAGCACCTTGCAGGCAGGTAGGCAGGCACTGCTGCCTGCCCAGCATGCTGTCCCGCTTTGCCCCCACCAATTTGTGAGAGCACGGGGTGGAGGAAGCAGTGCCTTGGATGTCCCGGATTTCTTTATAGTTAACCTAGTTATAGGGTACTACCCTAGATATAGATCAAAGTATACAGAGCTGATGCTAATTTAAGGCCTTGTACAGACCATTCAGTTTCTCCTAGGAGAATCACTACTCTTCCAGGAGAAACCACAAATATACAGATGTTCAGGTTTTTTCTCCCAAAGTAAAAATGGCTGCTCCATGAAAAAACCAATGTGCAAATAACCAGGGTTAAATCTCTCCCGGGAGAGCTTCTCCTGGGAGAGAAAATGTTTGTACAGGCTGTGGCTTTTCTCAGAAGAGAAAACAGTCCTCCAGAATTTCCCCCTCCAAGGAGACAGTGGGCACATCTACATGTGCACTAGCCTATTTTATTGTCCATTAGTATTTCAGAAAAAAACCATGCTAATGTATAGGAAAAGAGGCTACTGCACATTAAGCATAACTTAAAAAGCATGCACTTTCACTACTGTGCATTATGGCAGGCTACTGCATATTTATTTAGTACCTTGAGGAACTTTTACACATGCTCCAGGGGTGGGGAAGGGCAGTGCTTTAATTACAGTTTTAGTTCAAGCACCCCTGCTACCATTTTTTAGCATAGGGATGCTGATACACAAGACACAGGAGGCTGCTGGAGTGCAACAACTGCCACACTCCAGAAGACATGATTAATCAAGTCTGCTCCAACGCGCTGGAATTCCAGTGAGTCGGAGCAGCCTCTGTGCTTGTGTATAGCTGCCCTCATATTGGAGGTACTACATGCACATTAGGAAAAGTGCATTAATACATGTGTAGACACACCCAATGTGTTGCTTGCTGGACTCTCCTGCTCCAGCAGGGAGCAGAACACACCCTCTTCACAATCCACATTGTGCTGCAGAGAAATACAGGCTGACCATGGTCAGTCAATTGTGATTTCCCTATGCAGTGTTGCCGTCTGTCACAAGACAGCCTAAGGGACCCTGCAGAGCACACTGAGATGTGTGCAAAGGCCCCCCTCCATGGCTGCAAAGTGTCAACACTGCAAGTTTTCCACTCTTCAGGGCCTTAGTATTTTAATGTCCATACACCTGCAACTGGGTTTTTCTACCAGGAGAACAAATCTGGGAGAACAAGCCAATTGCCCATCATGAATGATGGAGTGTTTCAGGGAATGTTTACATGCCCCACCCCGACTTGCCCTTCGGGGCCGGCCATGTAAACCGGGGTAGGCAATTATTTTGGGTGGAGGAACACTTAGAGTTTTAGCACTCTGTCCAGGGCAGCATGGGTAGCCCCACCCCTTGGCAGGTGCCCCACCCCTGGTAGCCATCTTGTGACTGGAAGTCCTGCCCCCTAACCCTGGACTTTTGCCACCAGAAGTCCCTGCCCTTGCCCCCAGAAGTAGTCCTTTCAGCAAGGGGTTTTGGCATCTAAACAGGAAACATCTACAGCATTCATTAATTTGATTTCAAAAATATTTTTGTCCAGATTTACGTGTTTTTGTGTTGTGTACATAGAGGTGATCACACAACAGCTTAAAATAAAGTCTTATTCTTGTGTGTTGTGGAGGATGGGTATAGGTGTGGGGGGGGCTGTGGGGGGGTGTCTGGATACGTGGGGTGAGGGAGCGTGTGGGTGTGAATATATGGGATGTGGGTGGGGTTTGTTGGGGTCTGTGTGGGCAGGCAGGGTGGCTGGGCTGTGCGAGGGAGGTGTGGTGGTCTGCATATGTGGAAGTGCAAGGGGTGTGTGGATGCATGTGTATGGTGGAGTGTCCATGTAGGACTCACCCTGTGAACACCCACACACTCTGCCCCTGCCTGCGCACCCCCCACCCACATACCCACATTCTGCCCTGCCTGCACACACACCCACATCCTGCCCCTGCCTGCACATCCCCCGCCACACTCTGCCCCTGCCCACACACACACACTAGGCTGCTCAGTTGTGCCGAGTACTCTCCCTGGGTCCTACTGCCCCTGGCTCCTGTCAGCTTTGACAGGCATCCAGGAGCAAGTAAATATTAAACCCTAATGGCTCCCCTCCATCTCTGTCTCTGCCTCCCTGCCTGAAGAGGTAGAGCCTGCCCAGCCAATTGCTGCTGGCCCTCTCGGGAGAGCATGTGTACCTGATCAAAAGTGTTACAGACAGACAGACAGACAGACAGACAAAGCCCTTTATTTTATTAGAATTCTCCCATATTATTTGGCTAGGGACGGACATTACACAAACTGATTTAAGTGATCAGAAACTGGTTTAAACTTGTAAAAGAACAGACGTTCAGTGGACATAAACCAGTCTGAAAATGGCTGGTTTGAGATAAACCTGGTTGAATGTAGTATCAGACTTAACCGATTTGGCTCAACTGGTTTATGAAATATCTGTCCCAGACTCCTTGATGGTTTAAGTTAAATCAGACTCCACCAGCATCCCAGTATGCTCTCTGGGCTGGGCAGAGCTCTGCTCCAGTGAGCTGGGCTGGCCCCTCACCTCTGCTCTCTAGCCGAAGCAGGGGCAGGGTGTTGCCAGCTGCTGTCCTGGCATGGCCCCCGAGGCAAATTCCTCCCTGCGCCCCTGCCTGCCCTCAGCTGGCAAACTCTGGAGACTGCAACTGGGGTTTGCCAGGCCCAGCCACACCTCCACAACTTGCCTGTAGCCAGGCAGGGACGGAGTTAATTCCTTCCTCTGTCCCCTCTCGCCCCCCAGAAGGTTGGATGTAGTCTCTGTAGTTTGCCTGTAACCAGGCAGGGATGCACCTGTGAGCCCAGAGCTAAGACGTCCAGGACCAGACTGAGAGGTGGGAAATGTTGGCAAAGACCTGACGATCATCACATGTGCTGGAGATGTAGTTAAGGGAAGTTGCAGACAGCTTCACCAAAGAATACAGAAAGCTACATTTACCTTATAAAGAAGAATGTGTAAAAGCTGAGAACGCCTCAACAAAACCTTTCTGAATGCCTGGTGGGGGAACATGTGGGTGTGTGGATAGATATGGGGTTTGTGAGCAGCTGTGAGTGTGTGGGGGAGGGTGGCTGGGGAGGGTTGTGGCATGTGGAGGGTGCGGGTGGCTAGGGTATGGGTTCATGTGTATGGTGGTGCGAAGGGGGTGTGGGTACATGTAGGACTCCCCCTCCTACCAGCAGCAGCAGGCAGCAAGGCCTTAGGATGTTCACAGGGGAACCAGCCCAGCTCCATAGAACCCCTGACAGCCCAGGCTCCCCACTCCTGCCACCCCGCCCTGGGCCCCCACTGGCCCTGGCACTGGCATGGGCCCCACGCTCCCACCCACCATTCCCCCCACCT